ATGCTTCTGGGATGCCTTTATGCTGATCTACCAATGAGCATCGGGGAATCCCAATTATCCCCACTCTAACCCTCATGATGTCCCTGCCCATATATTTGTTTCTATCCATTAATCTAACTTAAATCCAAGTCACTACAATACTGGATACAACCCAAAGGCAGAGAACAAGGAACGATCACTCTCACTCAAGGCACCTCTGTTCCAAGAAGCAAAGAGCTTAAGATCCATTCAACCTGACTTGCCACCCGCCCCTCCATCCCCATTTTTACAGAAGTTATAGTTAGCTAACAAACAGGACATTAAACCAAGAACCTGGTTTGCTAACTAAGCACACAATTGTGTACATGTTTGGAGAAAAAAAAAAGGTCTTTAAACTTCCAAATTTCCCCAGCTAACCAAAAGTGGCTGAGGAATTCTGGGAGTCCAATGCTTTTCAATCAAAGCATGCGTGGAATTGCACCCAACTACAGTTTGGACAAAGCAAATGGAAATCTGCAGTTTGCTCCAAATGACAAATGACAGCTTCTGATGAGAAGGTGGCATAAGGGGGATTGTTGCAATGTTTGTATGTGATCTGCATGATTTATTACACAAACAATTTCATTCCAAAATGCTATCGCACCATCTGATAAGCTTTTTATTTTACCATTTTTGCAATGTTTCTAAAGGGGGAAAATCCATGATCTCTTAGCCTTAAATTCAGGAATCTGAATGGAAAGAGTGCAAGTAAGAGTGGAATGGCTCTAAACTTGGAAAAAAACTACCTGCATAGAAACAACAAAGAAGAATGGTATTGTTCATTGTATGCAGACGAAGACACTTTACTTCCACCTGTATTTACTGAAAGGAGGCTTTAAGTAAGCAGGCTTTTGAAAAAATCTTGAAAAGCATGTTCCAAAAATGGGGCACAACTCCTGAGAAGGCCCTAGTTTCCTAGTTATCACTCCCCTTTCTTCTTTTGGGGTTGGTTCCCTGAGAAGTACCTTTGCAGATGATCTTAGGGTCTAGGTAGGAACATAGGGAGCAAGACAGAAGACTATTTATTCTCCTGAGCTTTCAGTGGATTATTTTAATGCTGTTTTCTTCATTTTATTTGGTTTTTTAATGGTTTTATTCCTGGGTACCTCCTACTGCTGTTTTATCTATTTTTATCTAGTCCTCCTTCCAAGAAGTCCAGGATGGAATTCATTATTCCCACCTTCTCATTTTACCAGGATTATAATGGGTTTGTTGAGTGACCCATGGTCACCCAATGATCTTCATGTCCAAGTGGAAATTTCAACGTAGGTCTTTCCAAACCTAGACAAGGACTGCTCCATTCCATTGGAATTTACAATTAATTTTGAAACCTCCGAGACCAGCCCTTTGATCAGTGTACCACACCAATTCACAACAACCGTTTCAGTTGCAGTTAATCATTTATTGCTATATTTGTTTTAAAATTACTTTTTAAATTTTGTGGTAGACCCCTTGAGAGCTGTTTTGTTGAAGGCAGGACAGAAATATTTTAATCAGATTGAAGGAACATCGAGTATGACAGCATCCATACTACTGTATGGAAATGTCTTATAACAACAAGGATGCTTACTGAAAGAAAGTGGCATACAAAAAATGTTCCAAGGGTGCAGTCCTTTACACAACCAGAAAAAAGTCTGACAACTTCCAGCCATCTGCAAGCCACCATGGAAACTTAGTGAATTCTGGGAGATGTAGGACTGTTTTCTGTTCAAACATTTAGTTATTGATTTATTTTCCCCACCGCATGACTCTCTGGGCAGTTCACAGAATGAAAATAAACTACAAATATAATATCCATAAACCAAATTTTGACAATTAAAATCATACACAAGAATAAAATGGCAGCAATAAATGCACTGATGAACCATTAACAGTTGCACTTAAATTGGTTCAAGGTTACAGAAGCAATATAGTCAGTCCCTGGGTTATGAATGACTTCCGTTCCTGAGAAAATGGAAATTTGTCTTTAAGTCAAATTTCCATGTAAGTCTGATCATATACAGCTGTCTCCCCATATTCGCATAGATCAGAGGTGCAGGACCCCGGTGAAAGTGGAAAAACCATGTATATCTCTGCCTCCGCCCTGCCCAAACTTACTGATGCCACTTCTTTGCAGCAAGGAAATGCCAGAGAAATTTCCCTCTCCAGATATAGGTGGGGCAGGAAGACATGCTTTGGAGGCATTCCTTCTCTCCCCTTCCACCTCCTCCCTCTCTATGGTGATGCTTTAGAGGCCTTCCTCTCTCCCCTTCCACCTCCTCCCTCTCTATCGTGATGCTTTAGAGGTCTCCCTCTCCCCGCCTTTCACATCCCGCCTCTCTCTATGAGGATGCTTTAGAGGCATCCCTTCTCTCCCTTTCCATTTCCTCTCTCTCTAGGGTGATGACAATTTCCTGCAGGATTTTTTAAAAAAAAAATCAATAGTCTTTATGGAAGTTTGTTCGTAAGTACAGGTTTTTCATAACTTGGATGTTTGTAACTCTGGGACTGCTTGTACAACATAATAAAATGTAGTATAGTTAAAATATTAAAATATTGGAATATTAAAATAATGGGTAAATAAAGCTTTTGCCTGGCATCCAAAAGAATAAAGGGTGGACACTAAGCACACCTCCTTGGGGAACTGATTCCGAAGTTGGGGACACAGGCTGGCATCCTTAGTCAACGGGAATGGAAGATTAAAGTTCCACATATTATTGTATATAACTAATTGGACATATTGGCCGAGTGTATTGTCACATTCAACAGTGGCCTAGCAATGCATGAGCAAAGGGGAGCCCTCCCTCTCTGCTCTTTCTCTGGCATGACCACAAGGGCACTGGAAGTTTTTCCTTCCATTTTTAGCTGCAGTTTAGGGCAATGTCCAAAGTCAGATGCACTGTGGTTAGTCTTCGCAGCACTTTACAAAAACAAGCCAACCACGAACTGTGGTTTATGATGTTACCTTGTTTCAAGAAATGATAGTTAAGAGAACCACAGAGTTCAAAAGCAGTATAAAACTAGGGTGAATCAAAACCAAAGTGAAAGTGTCAGGATTACTTCTTCACAGAAATGTTGGGGAAGAGGGAAGGAAGATGCACGTACATCCAAAGACTCTTTCATGTGATACAACCTTCTTTAATCTTTTGCCCTACAGATGTTTTGGGTTATAGTATGCAGCAGGCCCAGCAGCATGGTCAGTGGTTATGGATGATGGGAGCTATAGCCCAATCAAAGTTTGGGAGGTCTATACTAAAACATAGTTTAACATAGTTTAGTTGTTATGTTACAGGGAAAGCAATGACACAGTCCCCAACCAATATTTGGCATCTCTTCTTTTTTTTTGAGTAATTTGAGTAGAAAGAGATAAAAACCGTATTTTGTTTTTGTTATTTTGTAATAACATCTGCAATGTCTATTTTCCCCATTCTCTTTTGCAACTGCAGTGTTTCCATAGTTAAACAGTAATAAAAGTAGTGTTTTGCACTACATCCAGGAGGCTGGTGACCCCGCTGTATCTCCAAACAGCTTCAAGCAAAGAATGTAGGAACTACCATACTGGATGGTAAGAAGAGTCCCCCTGATCCAGCCACATGTGGGAAACCCTCAAGAAATAGTATACTTCTGTATAGGTTTTTCTGCAACTGGTATGGATCCCATCTTTGATACCAGAGGTGACATATCGCTATCATGGCTGGTAGCCATTGATAGATCCACCTTTCATGAATTTGTTTAATCTCCTTCTAAAACTGGTGCCCATCCTCACTCCCTCTTGAGGAGGAAGTTTCACTATGTTTGACACATGCATCCGTTAACTATAGTTCAACTATGCACCCTAAACATGACAATCTTACACAAAGAGCTACGATTGGCTGGCAGCCCACCTTCCTCATAATCAAAAGGAAACCTAGGATGGGAAGCTGCACAGGAAGTAGCTGCCAATAAAGCTTCTTCCTTCAATTTTAAACATGGCATTCCCATGCTGCCAGTTGAGGATAGAAAATGACTACATAATTCAAAGGCCGTATATGATTGTACCATCTAAAGTGTGGAATCTAAGGCAGCCTGGGCCTGATAAGTATCTAGTTAATAAACCTCTCAGAAACACCCAAGTTGCGGAAATGTCTCTACAACAAAAATGTAGTTCAAAGGTAATAAATGAACAAATCTTTCTCCATGAATCATACATTGTGTTAAATGCCTCTAGCAGTCCTCGCACTGCAGACATCAACCGCAAAGCCAGAACTTCCAAGAAAAGCAAGCCTAGTAGGTCAGCAACCTGGATTGTCTTCTGTGGATTAGTATGCCAGGAAGCTACTTGGCACTCACAGCAATCTCTTGACAGCCAGTTAGTCCTATCACAGTGTTTTATTTGACACCTTCATCTCACAAGCCCCGAAAATTTAGGTTTGAATTGTCAGGTTGTTAAGGGGTGAGCAGCTGCAGCAAGCTGGTCAACTTTGGGATATTCCACCTTCTGCTGAGGTGTTGTACCTGTCCTAATCTGACTCCCATTTCCCCAAAGTGCACTGGGAGTGGGATGGACACAGCTGTGGTTCCCCAGGGAGTAAAGGCCAGGCTGAAAACCTGAGAGGAGCCTTCTTGATTCTCAGAGCAGCTGAGCTCAGAAGGTCCTGACGCCAAGGATGTGCAAACAGAAGTCTGCTCTTTTTGCTGGGCAGCAGCAGGGCTGTCCTAGAGGGCCAAAGGATCGAGTGAGACTAGGCAAGCACCTTGTATGAAAGTAATCATTAGAATCTTTCTGTTTCCCTCTGAAGTCCAAAAAGATTTTGCCCCCTTCCAACCAGGAACAGACCCTGAAACGGCATGTTCCCTATGTTACTGACAAGCAGAAGAATGTCAGCCCACTGGCTGCAGAACCTCCCTCGGCTTGTTCACAAAACCAACTAAAATAACAGATACTAGGACCATTCCAGGGCAAATGCAAATTTTTCAACCGAAGCAACCTTGTAGAATACACCCCACCCCTCGTTAATCATTACCTGTGGGATATCTGTGTTCAGGTTCCCATCCGCCCACATGTCAGCAACATCCGAGTTTATCATTGTTGGTTTAACAGCAATCGTTGGCTTGGAGTATGGCAAAGAAATTATGCTGTCACCCTCTGGAATGGTATGCTCAGCTTTGGCTCCGATTCCATTCAGATCCCGCGAAAGTTCACCGCTACCGCCCAGGTCCACCGGCGGTGTCTGCAGCTGGTGGAAGTTGCGGGGGCAGAAGCAGTTTTTGCAGGAGCCAGGCTTCCAGATGTGTTCCACAAAATCACTGCACACAGACATTTTCGAGGCCGCGTGCTTCACTCCGACTGCCCTCTGCATCCTGTGTACTCAGCTTTGCCACTCATCTTGCACGACTCCTCTCTGTGGCTGGTCTTAACAAGGCGGCGTGTCTGGTGACCAAGCTGGCTGCAGAGAAGGAACGGAGCACTACGATTAATTATGACATTCTCCGATCTTTCCACGTCCCTTCCTGTGCTTCCTTGCTCAATCTGCCACCTGCCCCGCTCCACTAGCCACAAGTTCCACTTACAATTTCTGTGCGTGCATCCACGTCACATGGCTCCCCCCCACCCCACAGGAAGCACATCATGTGAAAGAGCGACTGCACACTCCAGTGTCAAGTGCTGGAATTCCCAGTCCACCCCAGCCCCCCAAGCACGACACACGCATGACTGCTTAAACACGCATCCCTGATGTTCACACTTCATGCATGGCCCTGCTGCCAAAAATACTAAAGTGCCATTTGCAGAGCTGGTTGAGTAAAGGGAGTTTCTTCTCTGTGTCTTGCAGCTGCATATTAGTGTTATTACACAGCATTTATATCCCACCTTTTTCCTCTTGTGAGAAGCCCTTAAGGCTTGCATAACCCTGCTGTATCCTCACAACAACAATCCTGTGAGGTGGGTTAGGCTGAAAGTGAGTCACTGGCCCAAAAACAACTGGTGAGCTTCATGGCCAAGTGGGGGACAAGAACCCCAATCTCCCAGGTCCTGATCCCAGCATTCTAACCAATCACTTTGCACTGGCTCTCTAGAGGCATATGAATCTTTGGATCAGGATAAACAGATATTAAAGATTATTGCAGATGAATATTTCCCGTTCCCATCACCGTATCACACACACCCTCCCTTGCCTAGCAACACGGCCCACCTGGCTGTTCTGGGCACTGACTCAAAAGCCAGGAGCTGAGAAATCCCTTCTTTTAGCAGCTGCTTGCATCATGAGCACACAAGGTCGGTTGCCAATCTGGAGATAAGTTTCATATCCCCAGGGGTGGAGGGGTCCCTGAAGGAAATACTTCTATGACCTGGTCATGCTGCTTTTGTAAATACAGAGGGAAAGTAAATGCATATAAGAGAGGGTTGGGCATGAAGAAATATTTCTTGCATGAATCAAACAAGAACTTGACCAATGTGAGTATAGAAAAGCCAGTTGCCCTACAAGTAAAACATCCAGCATTAAATCAGCCATATCACAAATGAACAGCATGTCTGATTCACACACACAAATGCCCGCCCCACCAGGGCCCTTCTCTAGTTCCCTAGCACAGCCAATGTGGACACCCAAACATTCAAGGTCCATCTCATTCAGGAGGGAGAAAAAACAATGAATTCAAAACTGATTGATTAAAATATGGAGAAGATGCACAATTAGAAAAATAGACACCTTCTTTTAAAAGGTTCTTGATTTAAAATAAAGATGAATTGAATGCAAATAAGTTAAGCATTGCAAGAGTGAACCCATGGCTCATTATCACACACAAAGAGTGAAAAACCACTTTTCTATATTAAATAATGTATCTGAATTTTGAAGACAAATATTATAAATATTTTATACCAGTCTTATGTATTTGCAATTCATCTACAGGACAGCACCTAACCTCCAACACCACTACAATTCAACAATATTAAAAGAAATATTAGAATCCCTTAATTCTTAGATTATTTTATATTTTATTTTATTTAGGATATTTCGAGGCCACACATCACTTTCATCTCTGGATGGCTTACAATAGATCAGCCTCCCCCAACCTGTTGTCCTCCAGATGTTTAGGAATACAACTCCCAGCATTCCCAAACATCAGTCTTAATGGCTGAGCCTGACAGGAGCTGAAGTCTAAAACACTTGCAAGACACCAGATGGAGAAGGCTGTGTTACACAAACAGAATAATCTTTATGACACAAACATGATAAAGGTAGCTAATACAGTACCACAGCAAATTCTTCATATTTAAAAACTCATAACTGAACACATGAACAGTTACCTTTTGCTCTGACTGGTGACAATAAGCCCATGCTGGGCACCTGGTCTTACAACCGGCAAGGCACCTAAAAGACTAGGGCCTCAGGCCCATAACAGGTCAATCGGCATTATATCTGCATATGTTAATTTATATCAATATGTACGCCTTTTAAAATAATTACTAGGATTTATTTATATTTCATATCACTGAAGGCACAGTCAGCCAATTAATTTCTTAGCCAAACACTATTCCATTCATTTGTACCCTAACCAAGAGAATCTCCGATTAGTAGCTCCTCTTCAGTTATAATTAATTTGCAGAGGTATGAAAAATGCAAAAATTGCCTTGTCGGTTTTTTTATGAATCTTTTTCACAATGCATGATCACCTTCCCTTCCAAAAGGTACCAAAACAGAATTTTAAAAAATTGTCAGAATTCAAATCCAAAAACAAGCAAAGTCTGGTCACCAATCCAGACCCTGCCCCAAAGTTAACAAACTCCCTTCACTTGATCTGTTCATTAATCATCCTCACTGCCATACAATAAATTCAATATCATGAGCAGTAATCAATGAAAATTCGCAAAATGGGGGTCGGGGGGGGGGGTCTGCCAGGTAGGGTGGTACAGTTGTTTTGGATTCCAAGAAATGGAACTCCAAAGAAGTTCCATTCCCCACAGAAGTCATAATGAGCCCCTCTCTATTGCTTCTGATGGGATGAATATCACCTTCTGCCCTGGTGAATTTAAGAAAGCAAAGTGAGAGTTCTTTGTAAACTCCAGTTTGAACTGCACATTAAGTTTTGCACATTAAACATTTTGCTTAATGATTTTACATCAGGACAAACAGTACCAAGCAAAAATCCATTAGCTCCCTCACTGGCCTCAGTGTTGCGGAGAGCACAATCCTATGGCCGCTGGAGAAAGTCTAGATGGCCACTGAAGCTTTCAGAGACTCAGCTACAAGGCTGAAAAAGCCCTCCATCCTCATGGCTGAGTCTCCAGGCTCAGAGCTCCCTGAGCCACAATTCAGAGCCAGTGTGGAAAGACCCATGCTGGCCACATCCCCAAGGTCACCAGAGCTTTAGGGGAGCAGGTGGGGAGAAGACTGGCACTGCCAAGATAAAATTCATCCTAGAGATTCTTCAGTTTCCATCCTCTGCACTCCAAGACATATATGGCCAGAATTGCCCATATGAAAGTTCTGTAGGGTAAGAGGAAGTTTGGGGGCTACAGGCATCTGGATTCTAAGAGATCCTAGCACTAAGAGTTTGTAGTTTTAAAGCAACAATAACCACAACACCATCACCATCACCATCACCACCAACAATGTGACCCTACAAATCAGCTACATGACCAAAGATCTCGTGTTATTATCAGAGGCAGTTGCTACAGCGACCAATTATTATGCACGCATGCCTGTTCAAGACATCTTATGAATGACAAAATCAGTACAGTGATTTAATTATGATTTCAGCCTCCCCAAAGGAGGCGGGGGAAGAGCAGGGCATAATAAAGCAACAATAAATAAGGAAGTATTTTTAATTGATTTAAAATTGATTTAATTGATTGTATTATTGATTTAATAATACAATTCCTGGAAAGAGATAGCAGCTACAGCAGGCCAGTAATATTTTATTTCTACTTTTGCCCACATCATTCTAAATTTAAAAAATCACTGTTTAACATACTGTACATTGTAGGGAAAATGTTTGTTTTTACTTGAATAGATTTTTCAATTTAACAGATCCTGAGTGCATTCCAGGCAGAATAAATAAAGGAAATCAACAAGAATAATTTAAAAGTGGGCTTTATAGTGCCACAGTTATTAATTACTAAATTTTACAGAGATCTCTGAACATATCTTTGTTTGCTTCCTCCACCCCTTCCAAACCTCCAACCCAATTAAGCTCTTGGTTCATGGTCCAACCGTTAATTGTTTTGGATCCCTGAATGCCTGCGCCCCAGCAGGGTCAAAATTCTCTTTTCATACTAATAATTGGATCAGAAAGAAGACAAAAGAATTATAATGGAAAATGTTAATTGCCCTCATTTTAAAAACTAGCCACGCTGCTAATCATAAAACCATATGATGATTAACTGAAAAGTGTATTGTTGCTACTACACAAAGAAACAGAGCGTGCAAAAAAGGCAATTAACATCTGAAACGTTGAAGCTATCCAAAGTATCACAGCCATCCTGAGGCCTTGCAAAGGATGGGATAAAAATGTTATAAATGAATGAATGAATCAATGAAGTATGACAACTGTAACACAATTAGATATCCAAACACCTAACTATCTATTTAGAATTAATTTCTCTAGTTCATACAATCCTTCTGGAATAAGTGGTCAAGAAACTGAAATCTGAGATTTCTATTTATATACAGTTTTACAAATATGGGCCATTCTTCCAAGAGCTTCCAAGATGTGAGCCGCCCCGAGGCTTCGGCGAATGGGGCGGCATAAAAATGTTTTAATAAATAAATAAATAAATAAATAAATAAATAAATAAATAAAATAATCAGTTGTCAAATAAAGGCATGAAGTCCTTTGAAGCATGGTTTCCACATCATGACAAACCATGGTTTGTTTAGCCCATGGCGTGTTGCCCTGTCCAGGTTTTGCTTGGAAGATACTCTAGTGGGTTAGCAGTGGGTATATTCACATGTTACCCTAATGTAGCCTTACAACAAGCCACAGTGGGTTGGTTCTTGGCCAAACAACCCATGAGAGATGACTGGGCCAACTGTGGGTTGTTCATACCTATTTTCACCTTTGGTTCCCCCATGATTATCCCAGGGGAGCCTGGCCATAAGTCATCATGACTGTTTTGCCCTTTGCTCTTCTCCTGTCCCCTGAGATTGCAAAGTTGGGCGTGAAAACCAGGTTTCAAAATCTCCACTCTTACAGCCCCTTCAAAGTACCTGAGCAACATAGTGGAGGGACATTTGCAATAATTTTTCAAAAACTGCTACTTTTTAGCAACTCTTCCACAATTGTGCAGGACCACAGTTCTGCAGGTGATCAAATCAGGGATTCCGAGTGAGGAACATGGCAACATAAGGGGTGCATGCTGTCAGAATACAGCAGGTATCAACCCAGGATAGTGACCCAAAGAGACTCCAAATGGGATTCACTTCCCTTTGCTTTCTCTCGAAGGCCG